TCTCTGATATTGATGATTATCATTATTATATGAGATATATAGATATGTAGATATGAAAAGAATATTATGAAAGTGCCTGTCACCATGGAAAAAGTGATGGTGGGGGAGGAGTAATTACCCTTAATAAAGAAAGAAAAAAAAGGAAAAACTAAACAAGCTTGCACACCCACACCAACATACTTGGGAGCCTTAAGTTCAATAAATGACATGTTTGGCTTTCTTTCTGCACCATCAGTTTTCAGTGCTTCCCTTAGTCAAGAACAACTAAAGTGACTTCTGCCTTCCCCACCTCACCCATTTATTTTAAACCATTAAACTGAGTTCTTAAGCTTGAGACAGACCCTCTTGCAGAAGTGCACACTGCACTAAATTAGAATTGGGTTTGCTGCCCTGCATTTCTCAACGGCCTCAGCCCACAGCAAAGAAGCCGTTCTAGCAGAAGAGTCTGCAGACCCTGCTGCCACACTGGGCCTCTCTGGCCATCACAGAGGCGGTTGAGGGGGGGGCGGGGGGGGCGGGATGCCCACCGCTCGCTCCCTCTGGTATCGGGAAGAGGAATTCTGGGAGGGGTGATGGGGTCCCTCCAGCCACTGCAAGGTTGCTAGTTGCTAAAATAAGACTAGAGATGAGAAAAGCAGAAGAGGGTGGTCCTTAGCCCATGTCTGAGAACAAAGCCAGACCGGCTGCTCTGCCCTGTTCCCCAGCCCCTAGAGCACACCCACTGCAGTGGAGGGAACATTTTTTAAATTATTTCCAATCCTGTGTCTGTCTCTTCAGGGCAACCCACCTAGTTCATTCTTTCTTCTCTGTTGCTTATATTATTGTCTGTTGTTTTGTGACCCTTCCCTAAAAACAGTCTGCTGTAAATGTCTGACTCTTGATTATATTTCCTACAATTCTTGGCCTCCTGTTGTGTATGTAGGCGTCCACATGTCGGTACAGTGTGTATGGTAAGGCGTGCACACGGCCCTTCCTGTGCCCAGGGGACTGGGAACCAGTGGATTAGGCTTCTCGTTCCAGAACACATTCTCTGAGCCACATCTCCTGCTAGACTTTGGCTGCATCATTTCATCTTTTGGGGCCTCATTTTCCTAATCTAAAAGCTGCACTGTTTGCAATGGACAGTTTGGATTCTCATGTTGATTTCAGCTCTGTGCATCTGAGACTTTCCTGGATTCTCTCTGGAGACCTACTTGGCCACTTGATGTTTTACTGGAAGTCTTTTGGGCTTCTAGTCCCCCCTGCCCAATTCTATTCATTTCCCCTATTTTTTCCCATATATTTAAGACGCTTACATTATTCAGAGTAATACTGTCTGCTCCAACAAATCACTTCTCAGTTGCATTGATTTAAATTCAATAACATTTTTTCACACAACTGCCCACTGCTGATGTTCCTGGTTGGCGGGTGACTCAGGGACAAAGGCCCCCGAGTTTTATATCTGGGTCCTCCCCTGGACTCAGAGTTTTTGGCATTTGGCTCTTGGAGGAGAAACGGGTAGAAAAGGCACACCTCCTTGGCCCAGAGATAACATGTATCACTTCTGTTCAGATTCCATTGATGAGACCCGTGATCCCATGGCCCTACCCAGACACGAGAAGAAAACCGAATCCCCAGCTCAGCGGCCTTTCCTAGTGACAGGGGAACATGGATTTGGAGGATGGTTTGCTTCTCTCCCAAAGCTCCCTTCCCCTTCCTCTCGCCCAGCCCCACGCCATGGACATTGGCACATTTGCTGGCGCACATTGTTTGGATCTACTCAGGAGGCAGATTTGTCTTTACCTTTCCCGGTGTTAGACAGTTCAATGAACCTTCATCAGGGATCAGAAAATCCTTAATTTTAGAGGCTTACTCAGTCTACCCGCTTTCTGGGCTGGCTGTTCTCTCCAGTCAGCCCTGTCCACATGGGTAGCCACCACATTGGCCATGTAGACCAGAGTTTCATGTACAAGCAAAATGCAACTGAGTGGGCCCAGAGAACCTGTTGGCTTTTGAGACCTATCTGCATGGCAATCTATTAAACACTCTCTGACTCCCAGAAATTTTCCCAAGGAGTTACATATCCTCCACTTATCAAGAACTATGTTGTGATTTAAAAGTTACCCACTTGTAGGTAATGATACAGAGTTGCTTCAGTGATCTCTTCTTTATTATCAAGAAAATGGAAGCTCAGAGAGGTTAAATAAACTTTCCAAGGACACACAGTTAGGAAGAAGAGTCTACCCAGGGCCCATGTTCCTAACGATTCTTTAGAACTGTGCTAAAGCTTTCTTCAAGTCTCTCCATTTGCAGAACAACTATTAGGTAACAACACTTATTTTTAGCCAAATAAACAACTTACATAAGCAAATTAGATTTGAAAATTAACATGGCCTCTTCAGTACGTTCTAAAATGAATACACTCCAAGATGATTATCATGGAAGGTTCCAAGTTCATACCTAGAATCAAGAGACCTGACCTGGAGTTCACCACTTGAGGGATAGCACACCAGAGTGATAAAGAATACAGATTCCAGAGCCAGGCTGCCTGGTTCAAATGCTAGCTTTTCATGTCCATGGCCAAGTTACTCAGGTCTCCATCTCCTTATCTGTAAAATGGAGATGGTCACAGTAAGTCCCACCTCATGGATTGTTATGAGGAACGAACGAGTTCATACATGTGGGACTTAGGACAGTCCACAGGAGATACTCTGTAAATGTTGCTGTAACTCTTCTTATTCCCGTTTGTGTCAACAGTTAGGAATTCTTTCAGCTGCAGGTAACGAATGATCTAATTACTTTCTCCTCTGATACCTCTCTTCTCTCATTACCTCTCAAATGCAATCATTCAATTCTAGTACATTTTTGTAAAATAATGAAAAGAGCTAACACATTTATGGAGCACTTACTATGCCAGGCACTGTGCTAAGCACTTGCTACCCACCAACGAGACAGATACTAGAATTATCTCCTGCTCGCAAATCAAAGGCTTAGAGAAGTTCAGGAAGTTACCCAACGTCCTGGTATTCGTAAGTGGTGAGCTGGGCTCTGAACTCTGATCTGTCTAGACTCAAATCCTATGCACTTGGTCCTATGCACTTGGCAGATGCTCTGCCATCGGAATGCTGTACAGGACGGTGACCATGTAGTGACTTGCCCAGAGGAAACCGTATACACTAGAAATCTAAAGGCATCAGGCGCATGCTTAAACCCCTTCACTGGCTTTCCATCACTTTCAGGACAAAGTCTGTATTCTTGAACCTGGCTTACCAGCCCATTTCCAACATTGCCCTGCTCCGCATCTCTAACTCACACACACTCTCTCTTTTCCCCACCCCATTGCTCAGTGCTACCCTCTGACCAGCTGCCCCTGAATTCTTGCAGAGCTTCGGTACATTTGCCCCACTTCCACCAGACCCTAAGAGGTGCCGATTGCTCTGCTCAGACTGCCCATCCTACTCACTTTACCATCTGTCTAGTTACATGGGTCCTTCAAAACTCAGCTGAGACTTTGTTGCATCAGGAAACTCTTGATCCCCTGTGACTGGTCATCCCTCAGTGTGTCCTTCTGTCAGAGTACAGTGGTCCCCCTGTTATCCATGGTTTCAGTTTCCCACGGTTAACTGCAGTCCAGAAGCAGATGACCCTCCTCTGACTTAATGTCAGAAGGTAAACAGTAGCTTCACACTGGAGTGCAGTGCCTGTCTCATTCCATCACTCACCCCTCGCTTCATCTTATTACGTAGGCATTTTATCATCTCTCATCACAAGAACAGTGGGTACAGATGTTTTCAGAGAGAGACCACATTCACATAACTTTACAGTATATTGCTATCATTGTTCTATTTTATTACTATTGTTGTTAATTTCTTGCTGTGCCTAATTTAGAAATTAAACTTTTTTTTTTTTAAGAAATTAAGCTCTATCATAGGTATGCATGTATAGGGGGAAAAAATAGTCTCTATAGAATTCAGTACTATCTGTAGGTTCAGGAATCCCCTGGGGGTCTTAGAATAGATCCTCCTCCCCCACCCACCATCCTTGGATAAGGAGGGGGCTGCTGTATTCATCTCCTGTGTTGTTTCTGTCTTTCTCCTTGACTGGCCTACCTCAGTCCCTACACTGTGAGCATCTTGAGACACACACTGCATCTTTTTTATCATTTAATCCAACTTCCTAGTGCAATGTGTAGCTAGACACATGGTAGATGCACAGATATTTGCTAAAATAATGAAGGCATTACATAATTAATTCAAGCAATAGTTGTTGTTTTTTTTTAAACCGGGGCCTGATTCCTAATCAGTCCATAAATGGGCGTCAGGGAAGGTGCAAATTCCTTGAAATGAAGTGCAAAATTGTGAATACTTGTGCATTTTTAGGAGAGAGAATTCATAGCCTCTGTCAGATTCTTAAAAGGGTTTATAACGGAGACAAATTTAAGAACCACTGAATACTGAGGTTAGTAACCAATGTAAGTCAACACACATTGCACAATGTCTTCTGGCTAATTAACCTATCACATTAAAACTAAGTTACACTGATTGTAAGACTCGCCATTATTTTATGCAACAGTAAGAAAAATAAAAACGAAAAGTTTGAAACACTGCTAAGATGGTATCCTAGCTTCAAAGATGATACAACATGAAAAGTGCCTCTGCTCTTTTTTATGTTCTTCTTTTTTTAATTTTAATTCCAATATAGTTAACACACAGTGTTATATTAGTTTCAGGTATACAATATAGTGATTCAACAATTCTATACATGATTCAGGGCTCATCACAGTAAATGTACTCTTAATCCCCATCACCTATTTCCCGCATCGCCCACCCACCTCCCCTCTGGTGACCATCAGTTTGTTCTCTATGGTTAAGAGTCTGTTTCTTGGTTTGTCTCTCTCTCTTTTTCCCCTTTTGCTCATTTTTTGTTTGTTTGTTTCTTAAATTCAACATATGAGTGAGATCATATGGTATTGGTCTTTCTCTGACTGACATATTTCACTTAGAATTATACTTTCTAGCTCCATCTATGTCATTGCAAATGGCAAGATTTACTCTTTTTAAAGGCTGAATAATGTTCTATTGCATATATATACCACATCTTCTTTATCCAGTCATCAATTGATGGACACTTGGGCTGCTTCCATAATTTGGCTATTGTAAATAATACTGCAAAAATAATAATTTTTTCAAATTAATGTTTTCATATTCTTTGGATAAATACCCAGTAGTGGAATTACTGGATCATTTAATTTTTTGAGGACTCCATCCTGTTTTCCACAGTGGCTGCACCAGTTTGCATTCCTACCAACAGGGCACGAGGCTTCCTTTTGCTCCACACTGAGGGACCTCTGCTCTTGCCTGGGTCCCTGAGCTAGTACGGAGAGGTGGGTGGGGGGGCAGTGCCCTACAGTTTAAGTGGACAACCCCAACTCTGCCACGTATTACGAGGGGACTGTTAGGCAAGTCTCCTTGCCTCTCTGAGCCCCAGTTTGTTCATCTTCACAGTGGAGTGGCATCCCCACATACTCACTGGGTGGATGAACTAAGGCAGGCCTTGCTTTCAGATGGCTTTCAAGGACTACCCCCTTCCCTTACTTTCCTCATCCCTTATGCCAAACATACGCAGAGCTAAGACCTGACCCCACTTAAATCCTTAGTCAGTGTGAGAGTTTTAGGCAATGAACTATTCTGCCTGAGGTCTCCCAGCTCTGCTACCTATTCCCATAATTTTTGAAAAATGCCACTCTCTATTTGCCTGCAATTTTAGGTATGTCATTTGCTGGAGATAATGAGATTTATTTTTTTATTTTTTGTTCCCCTGTGTCCATTTCACACTATGTTCACAGCATCTGCATTGTAGTTCACTGTGAAAACAAAGAGGTAATTCGTAAAGCTTCATTTTGCTTTCCACAACAAATTGATCTGTTCATAGTGACAAATTCCCTTTGGGGTTGTTTGCATTGCCCACACTCCATGGCCCTGCATAGGAAGAAGGGCTTTCCGTTGCCCCCTTGCCCTTCCTGAACCCCTGGGGGGACTCTGTCTGCTGAGATATTTGTTAAATACTGACACGTTCCTCCTGACTCTCATGGCAGGGAGAACTAGAATCTCAGACCACGGTTGAGTTATTTGGATGGTGTTGATGTCTTCCAGGATGGAGTAAAATATTAATATGCCTTCTCCCCACCCTGTCCCTCCCCTGTTGTCTAGTATTCTTTTTGCAGATGTTAAAGGGTTTACCAACCTCTCCACAACCTTGTCCGCCCAGGAGCTGGTCCGGATGCTCAACGAGCTCTTTGCCAGATTTGATCGACTGGCCCATGTGAGTTGAATTTAATTCCCTTCTAGTCTTTTGTGGGAGTGAGGGACTGCATGCGGAATTAGGGAGAGGAGGACTCAGGCTTCATCACCAATTATCTCCTGTCCTGCTTCCTCTTCCCTGGTGTGGACCCTCAAGCCCCGCACCTTCTGGGAACCAATAGTAGTTATTTACAGATCTCGGATGGGAGGTTTGTCAGATTAATTTTCCCAATTGAGAGATAGCCGGTTGAGTGACAGTTAAGCCAAAACCCTTTTTTTCTGTTTTCTGCCCCTTCTCCCCATTACTTCCCTCTTCGTGTGGCCAGGTGCCATCCAGCTGCAGCCTCGGTTTAGTTCAGGCAGTGATGGCTGCCTGCAACTTTCCAGCCAACTCCAGCCATCTGAAACAAATTAGCCTGTTCTTGAGAGCCAGCAATCCACTGGACCGCCATTTTGTTTGACCTAGCCTAACAGCTTTGCTTTTAGCCAACAGGACACTATCTTTATTTTTCAGCTGGCTCGAGAGAACAGGCTAAAGGAGATGGGCATTTGCTCTCAAAACACAGATTCCTAGTCCTAAAGCATACAAGTTGCAGAAGAATATCACTGTCACACTGTATTTTAGAGTGGGCTTTAGGTTCAAACAGGCATGCCTTAATTTCCTTCTTTGTAAAGTGTGTTTCTATCAGTGCCAACTTCACAGGGCTCTTGAGAGAATCCCATGCAATCATATCAAGTGGGAGTTCATTTTTCAGAGCGTCCAAATTCCGAATTTAACGCTGTCTCCGTCCAACGAGAGCCATTCATACTCGTATCTGAGGACCTGCTAGGTGTTGTGCACTGTGCTATGTGTTGGGAGCGTGGGAATAACAAAACCACACTTTGTCCTTCCTAGAATTAAGTCTAGCCAGGAACACATCAATAAATGATCAATGCACAATGTGTTGTGTGTATGATGAGGGTGAGTCTGGGATGCTGTGGGAAGGCAGACTCCGCACATAACCCTTGCATCAGAGAACACTTTCCGGAGAAAGTTACTCTTAGACTGAGTCTTAAAAATGGGAAAAGAAATACAATTGAATACTATTCAGCAGCAAAAAGGAGTAAACCACGGAGACACGCAGCAATATCAGTGAATCTCCAAAGCAATATGCCAAGTGAAGGAAGCCAGATGGAAAAGCCTAGATAACGTATGATTCCATTTATAATACATTCTAGAAAAGGCAAAATTATAAGGACAGAAAAGAGATAAATGGTGGCCAGGAGTTGGAGGTGGACAGAGCGCGATTGATTGCACAGAAGCATGGGGTGCAGTGATTTGGGGAGTGATGTGCCTCTCCATATGTGAGCAGGACTGTACCCTTTTTCAAAATAGTCAGCTTTATTGTTTATAAATTGTACACCAATTAGCAAAGTGAAGGAAGACAAGGACAGTCATTTTTTTTAAAGATCTATTTATTTATTTGAGAGCACGAGCGGGAGGGGCAGAGGAAGAGAGAGAGAATCTCAAGCAGACTCCAAGCTGAGTGCAGAGCCTGACGGGGGTGGGGGCTCAATCCCAGGACCGTGAGATCACGACCTGAGCTGAAACCGAGAATTGGATGCTTAACTGACAGTACCACCCAGGTGCCCCTGTCAGGGAAGATCATTTTATGCCAAGGGGAGAACAAAGATAAAGATGCTACCCTGTATGTGTGGAGAAACCAGAAGAGATTTAGCGCTGCGGGAGGGGCAAGTGAAGGTAGGGAGGGGTGGAGATGAGGCCAGAGAGATGGCCAAGGACCTGCCAAGGAACCCGCCTTGTAACCTGTAGTTACTGGACAGCTGTAAATAGGAGACTTGACTTGGCAGAGGAGGAGGGGCAAACCGAGCCCCCCTCCAGCCCCCTACCCCAGGAGAAGGGTTGAGTTTACCTGAAGGGCTGGAAATTTGGAGGTGGAGAAGAATGTATGCCACTTCTTTTTACTGTTGTACCTCTGGGGCTTGGTGCCAGTTCCAATAGTTATTCTACTTCATATTACGGTTCTGACTATTTCTGTTCAAAGACCTAAGATGACCAAAAATGGCCTTCCAGTGAGAACCAACAGATGTGATCGGGGTCAATTTTTAGAGTCACGGTAAATAAACGCCACTGCCCCAGGGATGGTTGCTAAGTAAAATCTAACCCAAGTTGTTCAACCAACATTTATTGCTAGGTACCGTGCAAGACTCTGGCAAGACAAAACCCGTCCCAGCCCTCGGGAAGCTCAAGTCTGGTAAAGGGAGAGCAAATCCATAAGAATTGCAGGACAGAGTGGGTTCAAGCCACAACAGGCTAGGCGCAGAAGTCCTGGTGGAGGAAGGAGCAGCCAGTGCTTGGGCGAGGGGGCGGGGTCAATGGTGGTGATTTGGTAGCACCCAGAGAAGTGGCCGTGTGCAGGCGGGGTCCTGAAGAAGAGCAGAAGCTTCCCTGGTATCAGATTAGACCAAAACAAACAAACAAAAACACCTCCTAGGCTGAGCTGTGGTGCACACGCAGGAAAATGTGAAAATTCAAGAATGTGCTGTTTGTTTGAGGAGTTATAAGAAGCTAAAGATTGGGGCACCTGGGTGGTTCGGTCAGTTAAGTGTCTGCCTTCGGCTCAGGTCATGATCTCAGGGTCCTGGGATGGAGCCCTGCATCGGGCTCCCTGCTTGGTGGGGGGCCTGGTTCTCCCTCTGCCTGCCGCTCCCCCTGCTTATACTCTCTCTCTGTGTCAAATAAATAAATAAAATCTTTTAAAAAGACGGAGGGCGCCTGGATGGCTCAGTTGTTAACCGTCTGCCTTCGGCTCAGGTCATGATCCCAGGGTCCTGGGATGGAGCCCTGCATCGGGCTCCCTGCTCAGTGGAGAGTCTGCTTCTCCCTCTCTCCCCGCCTTTGCACGTGCGCACACTCTCTGTCTCTCAAATAAATAAATAAAAATCTTAAATAAAAAAAAGAAGCTAAAGATTACTAGAACATCAAGGGCAGGGACACTGTAGTGAGAAAGGAGCTTAGAGAGCAAGCAGAAGTACGTTTGGAGGGCATGGTGCAACTTTTTAGGGGATGTGCACTTTGTCCTGTAACTGGGCCTTTCCCCTGGTTACCTTACACACAGTGCAGGGGGAGGGGGGAGACAGGGTACACAACCCATTGGTCCGCAATGGGTGCAAGAAGCTATCATCCATCTTTTGGGGTGAGGCTTACTGAAAGTTTAAGAAAAACTTTTTGGAGAAAAAAAAATTAAGCACAGATCCATGGTGGAGTAAAATTATTATTAATTTGATAAGACTATTAAACGCTCATCAACTGCCTGGTGTATGTTACTTACCGCTCTGGGTGTTTGCCCTGGATTCCCTAATTCAGTTCTCACAACAGACCTAGAAGATAGGTTATTTATTGTTCCCATTTTACAGAATGAGTGACTGAGGCTCAAAGAAGTAATCTTCCTAGAACCTGGTAGGTGGGTGTATCTGTGATTCAGGCCGACTGGCCCAGCTGCTCACTTTTTTTTTTTAAGATTTTATTTATTTATTTATTTATTTATTTGAGAGAGAGCGAGCGAGAGCACAGGAGAAGAGTAAGAGGGAAAAGCAGGTTCCCTGCCAAGCAGGGAGCAGGATGCTGGAATCATGACCTATGCAGAAGGCAGACACTTAACCCGTGAGCCACCCAGGGGTCCCACAAGTGCTCCATCTTGACCACCAAGCAATGCCACAGGCATTTCAGGAGACAGAACACAAGACATTGGCAGATGTGTTGCTGCCCATGCAGGAGCTTGACGGGTTAGATCCGTGGGACTTCAGGTGTGGGCTGGACTTGAATGTACCTGTGCAATTCCTCTCTGTGTCTCCGTTTTCTGTCAGAATTGCAATGGAGGATAAATGAAAAAAAAAAAAAAAAGACAAAACAAAACACATGAAATGTCTCTTAACCTAGAGACTGTCTCCACATAAATACTCAGCACCCATTAGCGCTCCGTAGCTCTGACCCCCACCTCGGGTGCATCAGTATCTATTACTCTCAGGGACCTCCCTGGAAAAGTTTGAGAAACACTGCCAATAAAAACAATTCTACTCATCTTGGAATGAGAAAACCTACTTTCAGTGCCTTTTGCCCCCAGTGGTGGGCCAGTCACTTAACCAACTGGGTCAAGCTCTGCTTCTGTATAAAAAGGTTTTAGAGTTGACCATTTTTGCATTTTTTAGCATCGAGATTCTGTGGCTTTATAAAGATTATCTGTCTCACCATGATTTTTCCACTGTAGATTTGTTTATGTTGCATATCAGAGAGAATTCACCTTGCATGTGAATTTCATACACTGTACCTCTTTCTGTACAGCATTATTGAAATGCAGGAAATTTCAAAGCTTCCTCTTAAAATTCCTCTTAGTTTGATTGAACTCCTGAGTGCCCTTGTGGTTTACGCTCCTCAGAATAGAGCTTTTTTGTTTGTTTTTCTTTTTCTTTTTTTAAGATTTTATTTATTTATTTGGGAGAGATCTAGAGAGAGAGCATGAGCTGAGGGGAGAGGTAGAGAGAGAGAGAGAAGCAGACTCCCTGATGAGCAAGGAGCCCGATGCGGGACTCGATCCCAGGACCCTGGGACCATGACCTGAGCCGAAGGCAGACGCTTAACCAACTGAGCCATCCAGGAGCCCCTGATTTTGTTTTTTGGTCCTTGACAGTGCCCTTGGCAAATTTTGTAACTTTCTGTCTTTGATCTTTTTTTAAAATACTCTCTGCCTACTCCTCCCCCATCCAAATTAAGAACGAAGAATTTGCATACTATTATGAAGACTTTAAAATTGTAAAACAAAGAACATATTTACTGTTACGCAGTTGACATGATTGTATCTTAAACTTTATTTTAAACTGCTGACAAACTGGAAGCAACCTAAATTATTGCTGGAAGGAATAAATCCAACACTATGGAAAGGGAATGAACAGATTAAAAAGAATGAGCTAGCCATTTCTGTACTGACATAGAAATTCAAGACCTGTTTTGCCTGAAAAAAAGCA